GCAGATATGGGAAGGCTCTGATATGAGAGGGTGGGCCAGGAGCATGTATGGCACGAAGAAATGTGAGGCTTCCAAGTCATTGACAGGGTAGTTTCTTGTAGCTCAGTCACAAGTCAAGACAAGGTGTACCATGCTGGTGAGAATGTCCATGTTCCAGCACTGTGTGATGCTGCACGGCCCCGGGGTCACCCTGCCTTGTGCAGACATCCTGAAAACTGTATCTTGCAGGATGCTCTAACACGCAAAGATAGTGCTTGGGGAGGAGGAAAATACATCACACCTTGAATACTGTGTTTGGTTTTGGGCCCCTCACTACAACAAAGATATTGAGGTGCTGGAGAGCTTCCAAAGAAGAACAACAAAGCTGGTAAAGGATCTAGAGAACAAGTCCTTTGAGTGGCAGCTGAGAGAACTGGGGTTGTTTAGTCTAGAGAAAAGGAGGCTGAGTGGAGACCTTATTGCTCTCTACAACTACCTGAAAGAAGGTTGTAGCCAGGTGGGTATTGGTCTCTTCTCACAAGTAACAAGTGCTAGGAGGACAAGAGGAAGCAGCTTTAAGGTGCATCAAGGGAGATTTAGATTGGATGTTAGGGAATATTTCTTAACCTAAAGGGTTCTCAAGCTCTGGCACAGGCTGCCCAGGGAAGTGGTTGAGTCACCATCCCTGGAAGTGTTCAAAAAACGTGTTTTAGTGGTGGACTTTGCAGTGTTAGGTTAATGGTTGGACTCAACGATCTTAAAGGTCTTTTCCAACCTAAATGATTCTATTCTATGACTCTGTATGCTTTGGCCATAAGAGGACATCACATCCCCTTATGAATGAGTGAGTGCACTCTTACAAAGAGCTTGACGTATTTTGGGCTGCTTGCAGATGATACGAAGCACAGAAGAAAGGGTGGACATCCCTGGGTGTCTCCGTGCTCCATGGGAGCTCAGACTTTGGCTAACTCAGCTTCTCACACCACCCATCTACTCAGTCACTCCAAAGCCTGGTGAGGTCTGATAAATCACTCTTGACTCAGCAAAACGTTGCCGTGTGACACTGCAGAACTGGTACTGTGAATGTTTCTCCATTCCAGCCATCTTCTACCTGGGCAGAAACCAATAAATTCATGAAGAATGTTTGTAAAAGAAAGAGTCACAGGGCTCTCAGAGTCTTTAATGGTGCTTAATGGAGTAGATGGGCTTTAAAATATTATATAGCCTGCACTCGCATCTCTCTGGAACAAAATCTCTGTTAAGATTTGGCTCTTGTGTGTGAATTACTTTAAATCCCAAGGAAGTGGTTTTATTACCCCATGGGAAGGCTTTGGTGATGGATAACAGTGTGGAAATTACAGACTCCACTGCCTAGTTTCTAGTTGTCTCTGCTCTGAAGCGAAGGGACTGAGATGCAGAGGTTTGCCCACAATGCCAGGGACACTGGGCTCATTGTAGAGCCCAGTGTTGCCTCTCTGTTCCCCACCAGCACCAGCAACTCTTCTTCTCCAGCTGAGCTCTGTAGCAGATGTGGCCAATGCTGCATCCCCTTTGCCATGGATGAATATATACAAGTAGGGTAAATCTTGCACGGAATGTTGCAGCTGGACAATTTATGACGTGCTAGGTGCTGCTTCCCTGCCCTTTGTCTCCACATTTTGGTTCAGCTAGCCCTGGGCGACCTTCACTGATGCGTCCAGTCTCCTAGGAGAGGACCTGGAGGAGCTCAACCAGATGTCCAGCAACCTGAGCAGCTCCAGTGTCACACGCTCCTCGAGTGTCTCTGGAGCTGCTCAGTAGGGGAACACCCCCACCCTTGGGTACTTCTCACTGTGCTGGTCCCGTACACAGCTTTCACTGCCCAGAGGCCCTGGGAATGCTTTGTCCAAGGAACAGCTGGACCTAGGGCTGGATTCTGACGCTGGGGCTGTCTCCTGGCACTATTGGGACTGCTGTCACTGCAGATGCAGGACCACCAGGCTTTGAATCTATGTAGAAGTCAGAGATCTTTATGAGCCTCAGTGCTGTCTCTGTTTACCCCCGTCTGACATTGCTATGGCAAGGCAATATCCAGAGACTTGTCTATCCCTCCCTGCAGTCATGGACACAGCCCTGAACCCAAGGTTATCTTGGGGATCATCAGCATGGGTGGCTGGGAGACCTATGCCGCTGTCACTCTAGCAGGGTGTCAGGGCACTGCCTCCAGTTTTGTCTTGCATGGCAAGGACAGAGAAGCAATTTTCAAGCTTGTTCTTTGCTCCCTGACTTGAGGCGGGTTGGAGGCAATTTGCCTGGTTGCAACACACTTCTCTGGGAGCAGGACTGCCAGCATCCCTGTGTGTTGCACTGTGGTGCCTGTGAAAGCAGATAATCCCTTCCTCCCCTTGCCTTGACCAAAGCATGAAAAGATGGGAAACAGATGGGTAAATTCAAGAGGCAAAACTGTATGCAAAATTGCAAAGCCCCTGCCACAGACCAGGGCATTGCAGGTGTCCAGCTGTCCACCATCTGCCTCCTGAGTCTCGCCTGACCTTGCCAGACACGGATCTGCCAGGCTTCAGAGCCAGGCTCACTGCACCTGGCTGGATGAAGCCGTCCTGCACCACCCCCTGAGGTCTGTGGTGGTGTTAAATCTCTTCCTTTGCCTCCCCTTGGTGTGCCACTCGTTCTTGAGCCGTGTGAAATAAACAGGCAAACACACCAGTCCCAGGGGAGGATAGGTATCTCCGAATTCACTGTATGTGGAGTCAACACTGACCCTGTCTTGAGGCTGCCCACGCTTTGACCTTGTAGCTCCGGCCCGAAAGTATGTGCTTCAGCTCTGCAGTTTCTGAATAAACACTCCATGTTGTGCTGGCGGCATGCGGTTTCCCTCTTCAGAAGAGCCCCCGAATTGTCTGTGTTGGTTTTTCCTAGCCTCTGCAAATAAATAGACATGGCTCTCGGGGAATACGCAGCGATGGGCTGCAGCCACTCTGCCTGCAGGTCTCGAGCCACCGCATGGGGCTGAGATGCTGGTGCACCCCCCGGGAGGACGGGTCCCACATCTGCACCATGGCATGCTGGACATGACCTTCCCTCAGCCCTGGCAGAGAGCTGGGACAGGGCTGCCCGAATACATCCTGCCTGCGGCTGGGTTGGCAGCAGCGGGAGCGGAACACCCGAGGCAGAAGGACAGCAGTGCATTTGTGTTGTTCGCCATGGAAGTGTTTTAGGGGTGCTGACCCCACCAAAACCCTTCCCTGCAGTGCGGGGGAGACACCATCTGAAGTTCTGCACAGGACTGGCAAGGCAGAGATCAACAGGCAGCCAGACCACCTCTCCCTCCTTACCTGAGGACTGGAAGGGGGCAAATGGGCTTGAAAAGCCCTGGGACAAATGAGCAAATGGTGTAATCACAGCAGCTTTGGACACATGGGCAAGCTGTGTCCCCTTCTCTGTAGAAGTGGAAAGGGTCCAGGGAAGGAAAACAGGTATGATCAAAGCTCTGGGCAACTCTGAGCAACTAGCCAGGCTAGGGATTTTCAGCCCCAGGAAGAGCTTTTAATGAGAAAAAAGCTTTTAATGACAGCATCTGCCCCTGGGTCAGAAAATGGTGGGCACCAAGTCAGATGGATCTCCCACCCGACCAAGCACGGCTGTTTTATGCTCCTCAACCCTCTTTCCAGCTGCAGCATTGAATCTATCAGCAATGGCTTTGTCATGCATTGCGGTGCTGCGGTGTCCCACCTGGTGGTTCCAGGAAGGTGCAGAACTGGAAGGGGTGTGTGAGGATGGATTACATGACTGGTTGGCCAAGCACAGTGGCCACGATGCTGGCGCAGCTCCCAGACTCACAGGGTGGTCACTGACCATAGCATGCACCCCAAATCCTTCCCCAGATGACTGCAAATCAGTTGTGTGAGTACAGTAGCAAGTCAGAGCAGCGCAATCCCATGTGGGTGAGCATAGACCTGCCCTTGGAGGGTTTCAGTTCACACTGAAGCACTTTTCAAAGCAACCCAGTGCTTTGATAAAGCTGATAAGAAATCTCAGCTGGTCACTCTGTAGAAGCACAGAATCTGGTGCAGGACAGAACCGAATTCAGGAGGCAAGTCCTGGATTAGCCAGTGCCCTCTGATCTCTGCCACTGCAAGCACAGGAAGCCCTTTGCTTACCCAAGTTGTACAACCTCGTGACAGGTATTCCGTAAAAGATGAGTTGTGTCGCATCTGGTAGAGGTGGGAGACAAAAGAGCAGAAGGAGCCCCAAGGACTGGTGATGCACACTTACACTGCTACCTTGTTTGGACTGTGTCCTGCCAAGTCCCAAAGACGGCCTGGACACCAGGAGCCACCTAGACCTGAAATTTGGCAACCAGCTGGGAATCTGCAGTTCCCAGAGAGCATTTCTGGGCAGTTAGTTTAGTTTGGAGGTTGCTCTTGATTGCGGGAGGAGAGATCCAGGGTCTCTCGCATTCAGGGTCTCCAGTCAGGCTCTTTCTGTGCTCCCATGTGTTATCTGGGTTGATTAGCTCTGGGACAAAAAGCTGAATAACATCTAGTATGAGAAGTGCAGATTATACTGTTTGCAATTTACATGAGCTCTGGAAGCAGCGCTGTTTACTAGGGAGCCAGAGACCTGTCTTCTCCCATGCTGAAGAAACTTTCCCTTCTCTAAATTGCCTCCTACAGAAAAAACTGGACTTGTTCAGCACCTGCTTCACCGGAATCTGTGTGTTTCTTGCTGCTCCCACATGGCCTTTCTCACAGGAACATGGGTGAGATAACACACGCAGTGCACAGCCATGTTATGTGATGTGGATTTGAAATGAACATTCTGACTGTACGCTTTTAGTAGCCTTCTGTGGGAACTGGCTTGTGTTGTTTTCCCTCAGCCTGGCATCAAGAAAAGTGCTGTTGAAATAAGGTTCTGCATGTCATTTTATTATTCATCATTGCTACCTTAATTGTGCAACCAGCACAGAGCACACAGGATCAATCAATCACCTGTTTCTAGGCTCAGGAAAGCTACCAGAAAGCTCAGATACGTTGACACTCCCCATCTTTCAAAATCCGGATGTCTTGCCTCGTTTTCCTAGAATAATGCAGAAAAAAAAGAGTAAGAGCTCAAAAAAATCCCTCCCTGAGTCATACTTTGGCTCCCATCCAGACTGTGGAATGGAGCTGGCTGTTATAAAATTGGTTTGCTCATTTTCCTGTCTAAAAAGCTGAGGTGACTGCAAGCCATCCTGGCCCACAGATGTCCCCTCCCCGGGCGTACAGCACTGGCAGTGTGTCTCCAGCCCAACCTGCTCCCAGCAGGGCTGTCCCCAGTGTGAGGTTATGGTGGCCATGGCTCTGTCTGAGCCCTAAACACCCCCCACCGAGGACGGAGACCCCCCTGCCTCCATGGTGCACCGCCCACCTGGGGAAGGGGTTTTCCCCACGCGCAACCTCTACCCTCTGGGGCTGCTGCTTGTGGCTGTTACCCTGTGTTGCATCGCCTGTTACCACCGTGATGAGTGTGGCTCCATCCCGTTTGCAGCTGTAGGCTGCTGCTAGACGCCCCCAAGCCTCTCCTTCCCCAGGCTAGCCGGATGCAGCTCTTCCATGCCTTCCTGCAGCCTCCCTTGACAAGCTGGTCATCCCTCTCCTCCTGCAGCCCAGAACACGGTCTGTGTTATTTGCCGTGCAAGTGCACTGCTGACCTGTGTTCAACCTGGTCTTCGCCCTTGCTCCCTTTCTAGCAGGAACCCCCGCTCAGTCACTTCCCAACCTGGGCAAAATCACTGCCCTAAAGCAATCCTTGTGCTTCTCACAAGGCCACTGTTGCCCTAGTCCTCAAGTTTATGGTGGTGCCTTTGGTTTGAAGCTCTGCCAAAAGAGCCGTGAGGGACATAACTGGGCATCTGCATTCACAGAGGTCTTTTGGAAGGACTTAGTTGTGCTATTTGACTGTCCAGACTAGATGCCTAGTCAACCTTTTTGCCCATCTAAGTTCAACTCTCTCTTCTCTAATCGCAGGCAGCACAGACGTTGGGGCCTTCCCCATCCTCTGTGGAGCATCTGGTTTTTTTCCAGCTTGCAGGCACTCCTGTTGGAGGGTCTCCTGGCCACAGACTCCTGACCTCACCTTTTGGATCTGCTGATCATTCGGCCACAGAGTTGTCTGATTTAGAAAGCTGATACAATGGAATATTCATCTCTTCTGTGGTATTAGCCTGCTGCCAACACAGTGAGCTAAATCCCTCAGCCTGCAGCTGCACAGTAGTCACTGAACGTGGTGCCAAGGATGGGGCAGGAACCTGCGGGCAAGTGCTGGGGCCATGCCTGCACCTATCCATGGGCACTGACAGTGCAGGAGGGTGAAGCTCACAGGCTTCATAGCCCAGCACCCAGATCAGATGACAAGAAAAAGTCCTCTTCCACTTCGCTAGCCGGAACGCTCGTGCTTCCTGTGTGCCGCGGCTTTTCCCAGGTGTGGGGGAGTCTGAACGATGCTGTTTGGCAGGCGCCCAGTTTCAGGCAGACAAAATTAGACCCCTGGAGGTCTCTGCCAAGGGCACGAGCTTACATTTGCTGCACACAGAGCTGGCATTCGTTGGCATAGGTGTTCCCGTCGGTCCCACAGACAGGCAGGTGCAGCAGTGGGCAGGCCTGCAGCTCAGTCATGTCTCCGCACACCGGCTGGAGGGGAGAAACCGCAGCACAGCTCTCAGCACCAGCAGCATCCACCTCTCCCTCCCACAGCACCCAGGCAGGAGAGAGTGCTGCTGGCGACCCAGTGCGCTTGGCCAGGGGAGGGCAGGGCGTGCACGCAGAGTGGGAAAGCAGGGAGGAGAGGACACCACATCCCTCCGTGGGACTCACAGCCCGGGCTCTGATGCATGTTGGATGCTGGAGGACCGGTACCCATGAGGCTGGGGATGATTGCTAGGAACAGCCTTTCTCCCAGGCACACTAGTCACTAAACCCCATCTCAAGTCATGATCAATAAAAACCAGACACCACTTACCCTTCTCAGACCATTTGCTTCATTCGGATCTGCCCCTGCAACAGAGCAGAGACTCGTGAGCGTGGCACGCCTGTGACCGGTGGCAAGAGCGTGAGGCATCAGCAGAGAGTTGTGTCCAAACCAACGGGAAGGCCGGGTTGTGCATAGCCCACTCAGGACCCTGATCAGTTGTGTGGGTTTCATGAGGGGGGATCTGTTCGCTTCATGCCACCCCCCACCCTCCCAGCAGCACAGTGCGCAGCTGCCATCCACAGCTAAGCTGGCTGGGACAAAGCCGGGAATGCTTGTTCCCACCCCTAACCCCTCTGCTGACAGCCCTCTCTCCCAGTCCCTGGACCAGGAGCTCCACAGAGCATCAGACATGTCCCAGGGAATGTGAACCCACGCAGCACTGCATGGGGATGTGGGGTATCTGCAGAGGGCTGAGGCTGGGTGACACTGCACAGCTGGACAACAGTCATCCCCAGGGAGAGCTGCATTCAGTGGGTTGCTTTTCTGGAGGCAGGCAGAGCAGTAGCAACAGTTCACAGCCTGTCTGTGTGGTGCACGGATGTCCTGGGAGTGTGAGGGCTGCACGCAGGCTGCTGCAGAACCACCGCTATGTGCACCTTAGGTAGCACAGGTTTTCCAGAGCCTACAAACGGCTGCTTCTCACCTGAATATGCTGTGCTCCTGCAAAGGCTTGCAGGTCTTTGCAGAGGCAGGAACAACAGCACCTGCTACCCCAGTGCACACGCTGCCCTCCCAGATCCCAGTTTCTGTTCACATCACAGGCTGTCCCCTATCCCATCCCTCTCCCAAGTGCAATATGGCCAACGAACCAGCCTGTAACCCTTGCCCAGAACTGCTAATAAGGCATGGTGTGTTTGCTCCAGTCCTTCTTCACCACCACGCCACCGCTGTGTTCACTTGCTCTCTTCACCCCCTCACCAAACCAGAGTTTCTGGGTCTCTCTGCCCTCCCACACATTTTTGGTCCCTCCGTGGTTCCCAACCCGCCACCAAAGAGCCGACTGCTGGCAGCAGACTGGACTTACCACCAGCAGCGATGAGAGTCACCAGTGCTGCCACCACCACCAGCTCCCTTGCAGGCATGGCTGGCTCAGGCGCATGCGCTCGTGCACCTCTCTCCGCTCGTGGCTGCCTTTATAGGCGAGGGCACCGCTTTATCTCAGCGGCGCTGGGAAAACAGCATTTTGAGCAGCGTTTGATCTGCGCCGGGAACAGCTGGACTGTGCACCCGGAGGGATCACTCGGGCACTATCATGTAACTGATAAACCACCCCAGTGCCACCAGCCAGCTCCAGGTGACGGCACTGGGGGCTGGTTTACAATCCCTTTCTTCATACCTGGCAGGTATCTGCATTTGGGTTGGGGCTGTGTGCATGGATACCCAGTTTAAATACGCAGAGGTGGCACACACAGCAGGGAGGCGACAGAGAGGCCGGAGAGGATCCTCAGTGGTAAGAGATGCCAGCTCTTCAGTGAAGGACTTCTCAGCAAGCATCACCACCGCACAACAGCTACTTCACCTACAAGACTGGACGCTCGAGATCAGTCTTTCTGTGCGAGCATCCTCACCACCTCTTTCTGAGAAACTGAATTTTCCACATCTGTCCACACCTGTCTCTGGTGAATCACAATCAATTGGTGAAGGACGGAAAAGAGGACCAGTGGGCGGAAAGCTGGTGTCAGAGCTAAAGGCCAGCGTTGACCAAAAGCTCCTTTGGGACAGACTTGCCAAGATGGAAGTCTGGGCCAGAAGCGACCAAGTGCCTCCTTCATCCTGGGTGTGAGTAGGAGCTGCTGCGTGTGCAAGGGGCAGCCATGGGCTAGGTGTCCTACAGAAACCACCAGCAGGCTGGCAGAGCTCCAGACGCCCACAGCATGCACATTTGGACTTGCTGAGGAGCTGACCGTGACCGTGCTCAGGTCGTTTCTTCCCCACAGTCTTACCTGAGGCTTAGGAAGGTACACGCTGTGCCCAGCTGGCTGAGACAAGAGGGAATGGCTTGGTGAGCATCTCCCGTCGTCAGAGGGGTATGGGCCCTGCACGGGGCTGCTTCCATCCTCACCCTTGGGCGGTCCTTCCACCCACCTCAGCAGGGCTGAGACTGGGTTTTGGGAAGGAGGAAGGTGACCGATTCAGGGTTCCCCCTGCAGAACCATTTCTCTGCTCAGAGGAAGCGGCTGTGCACATGTTTTATATTCCCTCTTCACGGAGTTTACACAGTTCAGTAACCTTTGGCTTTTATTATTATTCCACTTTGGAAATCCCTCAACTAAAGTAAATATTTAACTGCATTAGCAGTTGCTCCTGAGGCATATGGGGGCCTGTTGGGCTTGTTTGGTCTAGTACAGGGGAGGCCAAGGGGGGGATCTGATAGCAGCCTATAGCTGCTGGAAGAGCAGAAGATGGAGCCAACCTCTTCTTGGTAGTGCCAGAGGACAGAATAGAAAGCAACAGGCACAAACTGCTGTCCTGAGACGTTCAGGTTGGGAGGTAGGAAAGAAACCTTACCCCAGAGGGTGAGCAACCCAGACCAGTAGGGAGGCGGGAGATCTCCATCCTCAGTGGTCTATGTACAAAGCTGTGGATGGCCTGAGCAAGCCCTGCTGTGCACGAGGCCTGGAGGACCCTGCCACCAGCATGCTGGGTCCTGGGGACACAGCAGCTCTCACTTCTCAACACACACAGATGTATTTCCTCAGGTGCCCACCTTGCAAATCTGGTCCCAGCCAACACTCGGCTACGTGGACATCATGGGGCCACATCCTGCAAGCTGCTCCCACACCAACACTCAGCACAACCCTGCATGAGGGCTATCATGGGATCTTACAGTCTTCTTCAATGTTTTGACTACCAAAAACCCACCCAAATGCTGATCATAATGCCTGCAGTGCTGCCTCTGCAGCGAACCATGCTGTGTTGCTGGCCCTGAGTATGGCCTGGCTCTTCAGGTCACAGTGGCAGCAGTGCAGGAGCGATGGACTGGAGCTGTGCAGCTGGGACGTGCCGTGTTCTCCAGATCACTGTCCCTAGATGGAGGCTAGCAGTAAGCCTCTGCATCTCCTCTGTCGGAGGCAGCAGGTGCTGGGGAAAAACTGCTGGCCATTATGAGGCTTGATCTTCCTCCACCTGGTTCCTCGGTGGTATTCAAACACCACCACCTTCACAGAGCAAATAAGAATCACATGCTAAGAGATGACAGTGGGGAAATCACCTCTTGCAAACTGGCTTTGTCTCTTCCTGCTTTTCGCTCAAGCACAGGCTTGCAGCCCCTGACAGAAGTCCTGCCTACTGTCCCCCTCGAAGAAGAGGTGGGGAAATTCTTCCTTGGGTGGCACAGTAGGTTTTCTGGTGACTGCTCACTCTCACACTGGCTACGCAGCTCCAGCTGCCCCCCAGACCGGAAAAAGCACAGGCTTGCAGCCCCTGACAGAAGTCCTGCCTACTGTCCCCCTCGAAGAAGAGGTGGGGAAATTCTTCCTTGGGTGGCACAGTAGGTTTTCTGGTGACTGCTCACTCTCACACTGGCTACGCAGCTCCAGCTGCCTCCGAGACAGTAAAGCATTTGAACCTGGGCTTTCCTCCTTCACACTGCAGGTATCACACAGAGGGGTACTCTTCTGCTGTCCCCAGGGAATCCCGGTCTCCCAGCAGTACAGCAGCGTGTGGTGGAGATCATAGAATCACAGAATCATAGAATCATAGAATGGTAGGGGTTGGAAGGGACCTTCAAGATCATCTGGTTCCAACCCCCCTGCCATGAGCAGGGACATCTTCCACTAGACCAGGTTGCTCAGAGGTCCATCCAACCTGGCCTTGAACCCTGCCAGGGAGGTGGCATCCGCAGCTTCTCTGGGCAACCTGTTCCAATGCCTG